CATAACTAAGGCATAAACAGCAAAAGATAAATTATATAGACAAGACCTCATAAAATTATTTTTTAATTAAAAACTCCTGTTTATCAAGACTTCACACAAAAAGGTGAAAAGATAAGCTACCAACTAGAAGACCTTTAGAAACCATTTATCTGACAAGAATCTAATAAAATATATAAAACTTCAACTCTTTAGCAACCAAAACACAAAGAAGCCAATCATAAAATGGGCAAAGGACTTGAATATACATTTCACCAAAAAGGACACTCAAATGACCACTGAACACATAAAAAGATGCTCTGCTTCATTAGCCATCAAAAAAACCCAACTCTCGATTCTGGGCCCCCATTGAACCCTAGAAGTCCCCAACCAAAAACAGGTAGTTTGGATAACATGGCCCTGCTCGATATTCAACATCCTGAAATGATCACTGAAGATAAGGGTGTGGTGAAGAAAGCAGATGGTGCCCTGCTGTCAATTGGCGCAGTGTCTGGGGGCTGAAAGGCTTGTATTCGAACAAGCAGCCATCTAAGCAAGCAGTCAACTATGTCCACATGGAACAAGCACACCAGCTTGTGTGATCCAAAGACAAGAACAACAAAATTCAAATATGACAAAGGGAAAAGTATCAGAGCCGAAATTGTGAACACCCAATTTGTAGAAGGCTATGGAGGACAGTGAGGGCCCAAAACCCAGCTGCAGAGGATCGAGTCAGATAAAGCTGCTGGCAGATCCCAACTAGCCATAGGCAAGGCTCTGAAAACAGCTTCACTCTCAAGTAGGGATGACTGAAGAAAAACGTCAAGCCATGCATTGCAATCTGAGCCTTCTATGAACAAAATAGTGAATGCTGCAGGAAGCAGTGAAAGAAAGTGAAAGAAAACACAGAGAATCGGTTAACATTCAAACATTTCAACAGGGAGCATATGATCAAGAACCACTGGTACTGAAGAAGTCAAACTGCATGGAAAGTATGAGCGGCAAAATAAGACTCCATGAACTGGCGGAATACTGACCTAACTGTTTCAATAGACGGATGTAGCGTTGGAAGTACTCACTGGTCAAAGCCACAAAATAGGGAGACCTGGCCAACCAACTGGAAGAGATCCGGATTAGTGTCCATTCCAAAGAAGGCTGTCCCAACAGAATGAGGAATTTAATCCATCAATATCATTAATATCACGTGCAAATAAATTTTGCTGAAGATCATACAACAACGGGTGCAACAGTCTATCAACAGAGAGCAGCCAGAAATTCAAGCCAGATTCCGAGGAGGATGTAGAATGAAGGACATCATTGCTGATGTCAGATGGATCTTGGATGAAAGCAGAGAATATAAAAAAGATGTCCACTTTCATTGGTGACTAGGAGAGGCATACTTGAATGTGTGTACCATAGAAACTATGGCTAATATTGCAAAGAACGGGAACTCAAGAACATTTCATGGCGCTTGTGCAGAACCTGCAGGGAAACCAGGAGGCTGGTGTTTAAACGGGACAAGTAGGTATTGCACGATTTAACATCGTGAAAGGTGTGCAGCAGGGTTGGATTTCGTTTTTGGTTGTTTGTTTGTTTTTTACCATACTTATTCAATCTGAATGCCCAGCAAATAAATCAGAGAAGATATGAAGAACATGTGCCCAAATTGAAGGAACGCTCATTAACAACCTTTGAGAGGCAGACGAAGGAAGAGGACTTGAAGCACTAACTGATAAAAATCAAGGACTTCAAGCTGCAAGATGGATTATAACCCAATGGTAAGAAAACCAAAATCCTCACAACTGGACCAACAGACAATATTACAACAAACAGCAAACAGCTGGAAGTTATCAAGGAATTCCTTTTACTTGGATCTGCAGTCAATGGTCACAGAAGCAGCAGTCAAGATGATGTATTTTACGGAACAAATCTGCTGCACAAGACTTCTTTAAAGTGTTGAGAAGAAAGACTGTCACTTGGAGGACTAAGGTGCACCTGACCTGAGCCATGGTGTTTTCAATCGCCTCCTATGCCTGTGAAAGCTGGACATTGAATAAGGAAGCAAGAAGAACTTATGGCTCCGAATTTTTGGTGTTCGCGACTTCATCCTCAAAGTCTTGTGGACTGCCAGAAGAACAAACACATCTGTTCTGGAAGAAACACAGCCAGAGTGCTCTTTAGAAGCAAGTATGGGCTGACTTTTAAAAATTGGGCAAGCTTACCTATTGATTAGTTATAAAACATGTTATCAGGACAGAGCAGTCCTTTGAGAAGAGGAACATCATAGTTGGTAAAGTGAGGGTCAGAGAAAATAACCATGACCCTTTGGGTCAGAGGGATTGACACGGTAGATGCAAGAATAGGCTCGAGTTTAATGCCAATGGTGAGACTGGCACGGGACTGGGCAGTGTGTTGTTCTGTAGCACCTCGAGGCACTATGAGTTGGAGCCACCTCAATAGCACTCACCAACAACCAGAGGGGCGAGACAGAGCAAGAAAAGGGGTGGTTAATGATGAGAACATGACATTCATTGAGGGCGGGTTTGTAGAGTTGGTTATTATAATTGTTGTTAATAAATTATACACTGGTAAGAAGTTGAATCTGTAAAAGTTGTGTGATACATATATTTTCAACAGTGACCAAAAACGGAATAAACTGTTCATGTTGCCTATTTAATAAGCAAAAACCCTCGTGAGATTTCGTTGTTTGGTTTGGAGGAAGAGAGTAATGATTTCCTGGGCTACTTGAGTTAACTGGCTTAATCACGCGTTTAGTGCTTCTGTTCTACCTCCTAGCTCATTGCTAGTGTCTGGTCTTAAAAGCTTGTAATTGGCTTTTCAAGGCACAACAATTGGTCTCTATTTGCCTGGAGCAACAGAAGAAGAAGAATCAGTTACAGAGTAGAATAAGGAGGAGTGGTTCATTGTCTACACAAATAACTACCTTCTTTGCCATGAGACCAGGAGAATTAGACAGTGACCAGCTACCATCACTATTAAGATTCTGTGGAAGAATCCTGATCAAAAGAGGGGAAACGCAGAACATAATTCAAATTCTCATAGACTCCAGACTTTCTCGAGCAATGGAGGATGACTAAATCCCTGAAACTTTTGCCCTAAGATCATCTTTAAACTTTAAGCCCAAAGTATTCCCTAAAATAATCTTGAAATCAAACAACAGTTTAGTTTAATTTAAAAAGGGCTGCCTGGAGCATTTTATATTCTTTTTTTCTTGCATTTAAAAGTCTTTTAAGATCGGTAGAGAATTAAATTGACAACAACAATGTGAAAGATAAGCTAGGAGCCCTGGGCGCAGTGCGTTTTTGTTCAGGAGGAGAAACAACTCAGAAACGGAACGTGAGAATTGTGGTCCAACTCAAAGAACGTCATCAGTGGCAGGACATGTAGAAAATGTTGAATTCGTGTATATTTTATTGTGTATACTCTCAACAACAAAATAAAACAGGTTAGTGGGGGGGAAAAGATTTGAAGGTAAGTGTGAAATAATGAATAAGTGAATAATAAATAAAGGAGGCCAATTCTTGCCAGGTTCAAAATATGTCCCAAATGACATCTTTTTCATTGTTCGTTACACAGGCTTATATTCAGATAGGCATCCCACTTGTTCGTAATGGTATTTTTGCTCACGTGCCATTTCTAGCTACTGTGAGTTTTCATTTAGGGTTTTTGCAGCTATTCTCTTAAACAAGACTACCATTAAATTGATGTTTTTTGGTATTGTCTTGGTAAGCTTGGAGGACTCTAACCAGATCAGGTGCTAAAACCTGAGGGAGTGGTTTGTCCCATAATCTATGCTTTCAGGAACTCCAGCAACTCCCGCCATGCACAACGGAGAAGGTGAGAGAAAGGAGTTTGAAGTGAGGTTAGGTGGAGTGAAACTACATCAGGAAAGAGTTCATTTTACTTAAAGTTGGAAAATGCTGTCCGGGACATCCATTAGATCAATGCTTCATAGTACTTCTATCCTGCCTGCTCCTGTCTTATGCAGAAGAGCCCGGCCAGAGCAAGAAGAGGTAAGGCAACCCACAGAGATGATTCAATGACTCTAAGGCCAGCATGCAAATGGACAAAAGACTACCAGGTAGGGATAAATTGTTGTATGCTTCACTATGTGTATATCACAATAATTTTTTTTTAATCATTACTTACCCTTAAGTAATGGGGTTGACTAAACTCGCACTAAATTGCACACTCCTCCAGGGCAGGGAGGGACTTCAGAACAGTACTCTTTGTTTCCTAACATAGAGATGGTGTGTTAGTCTGGATAGACTACAGAAACAAATTCATAGACACCCACGTGTGTATAACAGAAAGAGTTTTATGTACAAGAGCAATTGAATATTGAGAAAACATCCCAGCCCAGTCCAGATCAAGTCCATAAGTCCAATATTAGCCCATATGTCCGATACCAATCTATAAAGTCCTCTTTAGACTCATGAAACACATGCAATGACGCCGAATGCAGGAAGATCACAGTCCAGTGGGTGGAAGATCTTGTGTGGATCCAGTGGTAGTGTAAGCATCTCAGTGCTGGCAGGGGTCTCCACGTGGTTCCTCAGGCTCCATCAGCCTCATTGTCCATAATGTCTTGCAGGGAGTCAGCCTTATCAGTAGAGTCTCCAAGGGTTTGAGCAGAGAGAGAGAGTATCTCCCGCCTCCAAGGAGGAAATACAGGAGTTCCCAAAATCCTCAGGAGAAGAGGCCATGCCCACACAGAGGCCTCACTGGCTTTGACTTGATTGACAGGCTATATTCTATCCCTTCACTCTTAATCCTATATCGTACCAAATTGACACCAGATTATATAACTCCCACAGATAGCTCATGGTACATAGTTAGTGAACTCTAGAAACGCCTGCTGAATCCATGAGCAACCACCAACTCATGACCTTAGAGACCGGAAAATCTTAACTGGGTATTTTCCACAGGTTTCAAAACCTCAGAGTGCAAAAACAAAACAAAACAACCTCAGAGTGCTTACTGTCTTTATCAGCATTGCTCACCAGCAGAGGCAGCTTGCGTCATCAAATGGGAAAATTCGATGGCACCTCCACTCCAGAAGACTAATTTAAAAGTAGCCTGTCCTTCCCAGCCACCTGGGGAAAGAAATGGTACTGTTAAGCAGCGAAATGAACTGTCTCAATTCATGATGGGTAAGAATCAGGATCAGCACAAAGCTGGTGCCTATGAGACCGGGGTCGAGTATAACTCGGCATTTTCTCTCCTCCGCCTGATATTTCTGACACTAGTCACTCCAGCCTCAACATTCTCTTCTCGGCAGGGTGTGAGAATTCATCGGCAGGGTGTGAGAATTCATCGAGAACTCACCATATTCCCAGTCAGTGTGGTTTATTAGGAAAGAAGCATACTGCAACCTGAGATCAGGGGCAAGCAGGTGGTAAAAGGAACAACTCAGGGTCAGTCAGGATCACAGTTGTGGCTTCACTGTTGATAACTTCCTTTTCGGTCGGGCAGATGCCCTTACTTGGGGTTCTCTGCCAGGGAGCGACCTCCTCTGCCTGCCAGACAGTCCTCTCTGCTATTGGCCTCCCTGCTGCTCATTGGTCCAGCTCATAACCAGTGTAGCAGCTTGCTCGGCTTCCTTAGCTGCTCTCTTCCATGAAGCCGCTCTGTCACCAGACCCTCTTCTACCAGCTTTCCACCATCAACCTCTCTACCACTAAATGGACCCCCTCACACTAAGTATAGCAGCTTGAGCAGTTGGCTCCACTGCTGCTCTCCTAGCAGCAGCTCCCCACTGTCTGACTTCTGTGTCACTGAATTCTCCTTTGCCACCAGGCCTCTCTGCCAACCACATGCCCTATTCGTTACAGGGTGTTCAATCAATGTGCACCCCATCCACAATTACCATGCAACGTCAGCCAACTCCCGTCGTAGGAATGACTAGACAGAAGTCTCAAACCATTACGTTGCTTGTAGCTTACCCACGAAACGTCAAACAACCTGGGGACCTTCTGGACAGAAGTAAAAAGCCCTCCGAGGTAGAAAAAATCATTTGCCCACCCCAACCTCAAGCTGCTTCTCCCCAAAGCTGCCAAACGGTTTTTCCCAGGCGCCCAGGGAAAAGCTCACAGGCAGGAAGGCACGGGTGTCACCACCCCCACACACTGAGAGACTAGCACAGCTGGCAACAGAGTCACTGGCCGACACACTCAGAAAAGCAACACCCAGAGGAGCAGGGCAGCCACGTGCAGCCAAGTCTGACGTTTCTGGAAGATTGTGAGAGAAGACAGACGTCGGAGGGGATACGTACCATCCGGCATGGCTGTGATGGTGCCTTTGATGTAGTTGGGGGAAAAGTACGGCTGCTCCACAGTGCAGTTCCTGATCAGACTCAGCGGCATCATGAAGGACGACAGGAGGTCGCTGATTGTGTGTGAGGTCACGAAGATCACCTGAAAGAGGTGGGGGGAAAACCTTTGGAAAAAGAATGTAAGACTCATTCGTGGATTGAAATAGAATAACATCAATTCTAGGGACAAGGTGGCTTTGACCTCCTGTTTCTAATGGAGAAACATCGCCCATTTCTTCCATGTCTCCTCAACATGGAAAATGCCAAAGTGCAAATGTGGTCAAACATTGAAAGGCAATATTTTCGTTTTTTTCCATGTGAAGGAAAACACACATAGAGTTCACCAGCAGATCGAAGTAGAAGTAGAAATTACCCTGTATGAAGTAAGAAACAATGTTCCCCTCTTTCTACCATTGAAAAAAAGATACTGCTCTGGTTTCTGTGGGAAGGAGAGCATCACATCTTGACTCTGCTTCAAGACGCTGCAGGAAAGAAGGGACAGACAACACACAAATTAGGGTGATGCACACATCAAAATTCTATCATGCACAAAAAGGTTCTTAGCACAGCTCCTAGCCCACAGAAAACAATAATGCTAGCGGCTGCTACTATCACTACTACTGTTATTAGAATTAAAAATCATTTACATGATCTTCATATTAGACAATCCCCTCCCATTTGCCTTCTTCTACCAATGGCCTCATTTTCTTCTTTTCTATTTTCAGCATTTATTCATTAACTCTTATATAACTTCGTGTGGCTAAGGCACTCTGCTAAGTGTTATGAAAGACAGGAAATGTTTTTTTGCTCCAGTAAAGGATAGGGTGCTAGATGACTTCTGTACCCTCTGACTATCACATTATCTCCCCACTGTTCACCTGGCAAACGCAGACGCACACTCCTTACTTGTAAACTCTTGTTGGGTTTTATTCTTTCATAGTCATCATGATATTTGAGCATTTATTTGTTTAAAGATCTTTGGGGACAATTTCTGCCTACTCTGCCCTGCAGGACTAGATGAGAAGGGATACCTACGACAAACTTGTAGGAAGTGGTTTTCCTCTATGAGCAGGAACAAGAATAAGACAGACTAGGACAGTGGAGGAAAGCGCCTTCCACGTTTGAGGCATGAGCCACGGAAATCTTGAGTAACAGTGGAATGCTGCCTGACACGGTGCCAGGAAATGGACTTCCCGGGTTGGAAGGCACTCAAAATATGGCTAGAGAAGAGCTGCCTCCTCAAAGTAGAGTCGACCTGAATGACATACATCGAGCACACAGCTCTGGGGACCTTTATTTGCTGATGGAGAACGACTCAACTTTAGAAGAAACGGCTGCAAGCATCCATTAGTAATAAGAACGTGCAGAGCATAAAGAGTGGATCTAGGAAAAATGGATGTCTTCAAAAATGGAATGGATTGACGGCCAAGATGGCAACCTAGACGGACACGCTACAGAAGCGCTCTGCTAGAAGCGGGGGAGAACACTGGGTCAGAGGAGAAACCTGGAGAAAAATCGCTGAAGGAAAAGAAAAAAGCGAAGTGAGCCCAACCCAGACAAACCCCAGGATGAGTGTGGACAAAGGGAGGGGCACATGGACCATCAGGTCCACCGCACCAGATGGTAGTAGAGGGTGAATCACTCTGGTTCTTCAGGGCTCCTGGGTCCCATACAATCACCAGTGGATGGGGCTATCAAAGTGGGCGTTGGGCATTTTCTTTGAGCACTAAACTAGCAGAGCAGACTAGGGAAGTGGTTCCTATGCGCTCTAGCTCCCCATATGACTGTCCCCAATAGCCCGACTGAAGCAGCTCGAAAGGAGCAGGGGCGACAGTCTCTGGCTCTGCCAGCAAGGTGGGTGCCCAGGAAACAGTGCTACAGGCATGTGGGCCACATAGTCTCTGCCTCTGTGACCATGGCTCATT